ACACTGATAAAAAGAGGATAGTTATTGAACTTTTATTACCTTTTAACAATAAATTGTGTAAGATGAAAAGATCCTGATGTTCCTTCTATGTAAAACCACTATCACATTACAGAAACCCATAATCGTTTAATACTGAATTATACCACATTACTGCCAACAGAGTAAAGACCCATTACCATTTATCCAGAAAAACCTATTTCCATCTTTAAACAAAGCCTGACATTAAATAGGTCGTTATGCCTATAAAACAAGAATTGATTTCCTGAGAGAGCTCTCCAAATGCTAAGTTCTTCCTAAAATTCTTGATAAACAAATGTGGGCTTCTGAAATTGTCTGATTATCATACTTCTCTCATTCCAATGTTAACACATGTGGGAAGAGGAAAATAGAACTTACGACAAACATAAATCTGGAAACATCAATAGCTTTACAGGATAACAACAGTTTTCTTATATTGTAAATTGAGAAACATTTATGTACAGGACACATTAAAGAGCTCTCTGAATAAATATTCTGTAATCCAATTTACACTACAAACTTATTACCTTTTTTGAACCAACAATTGTGGACACTGAAAAACAACTATCCAGGTCTATTTATATTTTTAAGTCCAGGAAATGTAAGTATCCACTCAAAATGATGTTTTCCTCTACGTTATATAATAATATTAAAACTGAGGTTTATACAGAGACCATCATATCTGATCTCTTCACTACAGTAAGTATTGTCTGGACAGCAAAGTATAACCAGGTAATTCACACACAAACAAATTCAGACAGTTTACTCAGACAATTTGAATTTGAAAGTTGCCCTTACAGGTCATTTACTTTTTTGATATCGAGTGTTTTCCAATAAAAAGTTGGGCAGTGGCAAGATAAGCTGTTAATTTTGACACCATAAAGATTCCCATATTTTCTTATAACTGAATTATTTCTCCATAAAACGGAAATAACTAAGCATGATTATACTGGCCTTCTTGTTGCCCTTCTAGTAAGATTAAACCCCCCTCAATAGACCTCAGAATTTCAAATTGTCATAGCTATTCAAACTACTTTATATAGTTATAATGCTTAACCTAATGTATAAAATACAGGGGTTCAATTTCCCACTATGAAAATTGACCCAAGGTTCACTTTTCCATTTTGAAGTCGGGTTCAACTTTCGATTTGGAAAATTGAGCCCAGGTTCAAATTCCAGGGGAGTTCAATTTTCCATATGACACTGGGAATATGCCAAAGAGGCAAAGAGCATAAAACAGCACAAGGCCACCAATGGGTCTTCAACACAGCGAGAAAATCCTGCACCATGAGGCAGACATCAGCTGGCCCCTAAACAATAATGTATACTAGTTCAGTGAAATGATTCCTGACTTGGGACAGTCGCAAATGTTTTTTTAATGAAGACATGGCAGAGAAAATAACAAGTAGAAAGTTAACAGCAGAAGATGGTGGATGAATTATTTCTTATGTAAGTATTCATGCAGTACTAAATTGTACTTTACATCATATCATCATCTGATCACATTACATTGTGTACAGACTGCTAATCAAACCAACAGATCAAAAGCAAAAGAAAAACAAACATTAACATTAAAGTTGTAAAAATGAAGTTTTTGTTTCTGTTTCTATATCAGACAAAATCCATGTGAAAAACTTAACATGCATGTTATACAAAGTGTTGAGCATTGAAAAAAACACATGTAAATTAAGATTATCTTATTGAAATGTATGTAACAGATATACTCCTGAGGCCATTAGGCTGATAGGGTATATCTAATCTACACCACAATATTAAAGTTAATGCATAATGATACCTTTCAATAATTTTAAAAGGAGGGGAGGGGGGGTTTTCAAGAATTTGACCTTTTTTCTTAGGATAAATCACATGGCAAATGCAGGATATCCAATTACATTTAATGACATTACTATTTCAATGTTAGTTATAGACAAGACAAGACATGACAATAGTATTCATCTTGTCTTGTCAAGGATAAATCACATGGTAAATGCAGGATATCCAATTACATTTAATGACATTACTGTTTCAATGTTAGTTATAGACAAGACAAGACATGACAATAGTATTCATCTTGTCTTGTCAAGGATAAATCACATGGTAAATGCAGGATATCCAATTACATTTAATGACATTATGGTGTCAATGTTAGTTATAGGAATCTGATGTTCAGTAGTTGTCGTTTGTTGATGTGGTTCATAAGTGTTTCTTGTTTTTTGTTTTTTATATAGATTAGACCGTTGGTTTTCCTGTTTGAATGGTTTTACACTAGTAATTTTTGGGGCCCTTTATAGCTTGCTGTGCGGTGTGAGCCAAGGCTCCGTGTTGAAGGCCGTACTTTGACCTATAATGGTTTACTTTCATAAATTGTGACTTGGATGGAGAGTTGTCTCATTGGCACTCATACCACATCTACTTATATCTAAAACAAGACAAGACAATAGTATTCATCTTGTCTTGTCAAGGATAAATCACATGGTAAACGCAGGATATCCAATTACATTTAATGACATTACTGTTTCAATGTTAATTTTACTAGGACAGTGTGTGGCTACTTTAAAGATTTGATGTACTTTACTAAATCAGGAAAGATATCAGACATTATATTGATTAGGTCTCCCCTGCCACAATTATAACAGGACTGATTAGTGATATCAACATGTCACATCTTAATTGACATTACAAAATCATCAAATTACCAACAGGGTAATTGTAAAAGTAACAGCATTCAACCAAGAAAATCGGTAAAAATGACTCTTGTTATGATGACAAATTCTATGGCTTTGCCAGCATCAAGTAGTCTAACAATGAACAAATTAACAAAAGTAGTGCTTTTGCTATGAGTAATGAGAATAAAAGTAGATTTAGAGTATATGTCAATGAGAGGGCAACCCAATCACATAAAAAACAAAATCAAAATTTGATTTCTAACGTCTTCAACACTTAGACAGGTGTCTATCAAATATTTCAAGCATTAAATCACCCATGTTTGGAAAAGTTTTGAACAAATTAAACATAAACTATCAATAAATAATTTGTCATGAATTGAAACCTTAGTAACATGTGCATGAATTAGGGCAATAGAAAAATTTACAGTTATCTATTTCATAGTCATGCTGGTAAGCCATGGTCACTGTGACCTAAATATGCACAGTTGTGTTGTACTTTCATATACAATTTTAATGGTGATATACAACCAATACCTTTATGACTTTTACTCCTTGCATATTCAAATAAATATAGGGATAACGGTCTCTTGAGTTAATGGTTGTATTAAAACATCTATGGTATCATATTAATCTATTCCAGAAAGATATAATTGCCTATTTACAAATTGGTTCATTAAGTAATGTTTTTATAAAAAAAAATCACTACTGGTTTAATCCCAGTTTAACCATTTTCTTAATTGTAAATTCTATTCCACATTCCATAGGGACAAAAACAATGTAACTTGTTGTATGAATTTACATATTGTTAAAATCAATTGTAGCTATCATCAATACTGAAACTGATTACACAATTCCATGTTAGTTCTGTGGGCCTCCTCCCATCTTAAGAGAGTAATTACTGTCACAGATAAGGGGGATTAACTACAATCAATTCTCCTCGGTACTGACAGTACATGTACATTGAGGATTTTCTATCATACAAAATGATTTTCACCATATGTTCAGAAACTGCTGATTTTATCAATGGAATTGAAAATTGGTCATTTCTCTGGTTTTTCAATTCCAGGTTAAGTATAACCTCTCCAATCTTAGAGGGAAAATAATTAAAGATTAAAACATGCATTTATTGTTAAAACTGAATAAGTGCACAGTAACTTATATATTCTTAAGATTTAAAGTTTCTGATTATTGGTGGGTTACTGTAAGTCTGTTGAAATTTATGTCAGACTCTGCTTCACCGATAAAACTTAACTGAAGACCAAACACCATCTTCCTACCTTTGAACTTAAATCCTCTTCCAACCTTCTAATCAATTAAGATCAGACCTATCCACAAGGGGGCTTTCAACTCAAATCCTCTTCCTACCTCCTAATCAATTAAGATCAAAAAGACCTATCCACAAGGAGTCTTTCAACTCAAATCCTCTTCCTACCTTTTAATCAATTAAGATCAAACAGACCTATCCACAAGGAGTCTTTCAACTCAAATCCTCTTCCAACCTAATCAATTAAGATCAAACAGACCTATCCACAAGGGGGCTTTAAACTAAAATCCTCTTCCTACCTCCTAATCAATTAAGATCAAACAGACCTATCCACAAGGGGGCTTTCAACTCAAATCCTCTTCCTACCTCCTAATCAATTAAGATCAAACAGACCTATCCACAAGGGGGCTTTAAACTAAAATCCTCTTCCTACCTCTTAATCAATTAAGATCAAACAGTCCTATCCACAAGGGGGCTTTCAACTCAAATCCTCTTCCTACCTCCTAATCAATTAAGATAAAAAAGACCTATCCACAAGGGGGCTTTGAACTCAAATCCTCTTCCTACCTCCTAACCAATTAAGATAAAAAAAGACCTATCCACAAGGGGGCTTTGAACTCAAATTCTCTTCCTACCTCCTAATCAATTAAGATCAAACAGACCTATCTACAAGGGGGCTTTGAACTCAAATCCTCTTCCTACCTTCTAATCAATTAAGATCAAACAGACCTATCCACAAGGGGGCTTTGAACTCAAATCCTCTTCCAACCTTCTATTCAATTAAGATAAAACAGACCTATCCACAAGGGGGCTTTGAACTCATATTCTCTTCCTAACTCCTAATATATTAAGATCAAACAGTCCTATCCACAAGGGGGCTTTGAACTCAAATCCTCAGTGCTGGCAAGGTTATTGATCATTGTAGATAAACTATTTGGGTCACTCAGCCACTGGGACCTCCTATGCTACCTAGAATCATATAGCCTCTTTAAGAAAAGAGAAGGTTTCATTTCTTACTTCTTCGGACAAAGAAGCATTTTAATAACACTTACCTTGACCTTTTGTTGAACTCTGGTTGGTGCAATATTGCTGTTTAGTTTCTGCATGAGACGAACTACTCCTGACTCGTCTAACATAGCCGTTGATTGGTCAGCTTCAGCATCAAACATTTCTTGTAACCAAGTTACAATGTTAAAGAAAATAAATGCTTTTTCTAAATTTGTTTTAATTGGTGACCTTCTGCTATTGTCTGTTCTATGGTCGGGTTGTTGTCTCTTTGACACATTCCCCATTTCCATTCTCAATTTTATTTTTATTAATTTACATTTTTAAAATTATAATTTAAGACCAAACTGTTTACTCAACATGAGCACTAACTTGACTAATTTATAATTCATAATACATGTAACAAAGATTCTCATAGCTGAGTGTTAATGCATAGTTTGTATTTGCTTCAAGTCCAGTGGCAAATATTTCATGAATTCATGCATAAGGTTTCAATGGAAACGATGTGCCACAAATGTATGCCTTGTGGGGGTGGAAATGGCTATTTTGATGACCATGCCAGCTAGGTGTTTCCAATTTTTGGTTTCATTTGTCAACATGTTTAAATGCCATTTTTCACCATGTTCTTTGCAAAAATGTAGGATTTTTTTTTTATCATAAAACATTTTTTTTTTGGTTTATTTCATTTGTTCAGGCCCTTGAGATCCTTCAATAAACCCACTACATGTATTGTTGTAATTTAAAATTGATATATTCAAATTATTTGCTTGAAATTTTAAAGTAAGAAAATTATTATATTCATAAATTGTATAAGCTTATATATCATACAAAACAGGGATTTACAATCTTTTAAAATCCCTTATCAATACATCATAAACTTTCACATAAACAATATTGACACCTCTGAGGGAAATACTTTATATAAATAAACACTAAATCTGTTTTGACTACTATTTTTGCCACTGATTTATCACTGATATGTTGTTATATCTGCGTAAAAACCTGCAGAGGATTTAAAAATCGTTAAAAAAAACAAACAAAAAACAACAAATAAACCTTTCTTTAAGTGTTACTAGGGAAGTGTTCTTTTTTATTATATCAACAAAAGACGTTATTTTACTTCAGAACTACTAATGCTCCCAACTTCTGGTTAAAATATCTTTTTTTTTTTTTGCATTGGCAAGGGTTAAATATAATCTTCAAAATTTATCAGTATTTTGGGTCAAATGGTTAAGATTTCCTGCAGTTTTACATATTACTGTGCTCATTGTCAGTTCATTGCTGTAACCAATAAAATAGCAATAGAATCAATAATCCATGGGATAAAACAAAATTTGGATATATCCTTAATATAGATAAAGGAAAGCACCAAATGAAATTAACACATTCCCAAATATGTACCACCACTGCACCAGTTAAATAAAATATTCAAGTATTCACCAAAATGTCAAAGACCAATAAAATACAAAATTTAAACATTCCGATAAAATGGCAAACACCATTCCAATGCAAGTATGGCACATTCTAAATATAGACAAAGACTAACACAACACAAAATTCAGAGATCTCAGACTAAAAGAATACAAAATTCAGCAAAACAGACCTTCTCAGGAAATAAAAAAATAAGGAAAATCTAATCTATATTTGTGGACCAAAATTTTACCACATGTGAAAATGTCTCAGCTTCATAATGAGTCATCATACAAATTCAAGTAAAAGTTTACTATGTAGACAGAGGAATGGAAAAAAAAAGGTACTACAATGTATTACTGCTTTCCTGGAATCCAACTCCACATATTGACCCAGTTAATAGTAAAAATATTAATTTTATAGCAGCAGATGTCCATAAAAAGTTGAAAGGAGATTAGTAAATAAGCAAGTTACTTGTACAGATTACTGAACTCTATTTATAGTAACTATTGAGTTTAAAACAACATATTAATCACACACTGTTATAAAGGTCCTATATTTTTCCAGTATTTGATTGTACAGATTTCTTAACTATTTTTTTACTCTATTTGTAGTAACTTTTGAGTATAACATGTAATCTTAGGATCTATCCACAAACTGTTGTAAAGGTCCAATATGTTCATATTAGTATTTCTACTTTCTTTTTGGCTAATTATTATATATTTAATTGATCCAACTTTTTGTGTACTATACATATGTGGATATCTATTTTTCTTTTTTTCTTTTTGGGCTGTTTGTTTGTTATCTATATCAACCACACTTGCAATAAAATGCATTAGTATTAAAAAAAAAAACATACTATAGATTCTTTATCTACGTATTCTTTAAGAACTTAAATAGTTCTGTTTAACTTTTTTTTTTTTTTTTATCTCATTGTTTGTATTGTATTATGAAAAATTATTGATGTTGTAATGTTTATGCCCTTTGGGGCCCATAATTGGAAATAAAATATCTTATCTTATCTTATCTTAGTACCATGGATCCATTTGTTTTTGTGGGTACACATTTTCATGGATTGGGGGAATAGTATATACTGACCAATATCTCAAAGTGTATAGAAAAGTTATACTTTGTTGAACAATTAAATACATGGTTTTCCTTTACCCACAACAATTGGTAGAATCAGAATAATAATGAATGCATGATAAACTGTATATATATAGGTACAATTCTGTCAGACCAATTCTCTTATTTGTCATTATATATAATAACATTATTTATATATTTAATAGATCCAACTTTTTGTGTACTATACATATGTGGATATCTATTTTTCTTTTTTTCTTTTTGGGCTGCTTGTTTGTTATCTATATCAACCACACTTGCAATAAAATGCATTAGTATTAAAAAAAAAAACATACTATAGATTCTTTATCTACGTATTCTTTAAGAACTTAAATAGTTCTCGTTTAACTTTCTTTTTTTTTTATCTCATTGTTTGTATTGTATTATGACAAATTATTGATGTTGTAATGTTTATGCCCTTTGGGGCCCATAATTGGAAATAAAATATCTTATCTTATCTTATCTTATAACAAGTAATTAAAAGTTTTGAAAAAAAAGGTCAACATTGATGAGAAAAATAAAATTCTGCTGCAAAAGTTTAGGTCCATTGAATCATAATGTCCATCTTAACCTGTTTGTAAAGTAGCTCAATTCAATTTTTGTTACTCCTTTTTATTATGAAGACAAAGTTTTCAATAACAGTAAGAAACTGAAAAAGAAAGAAAAATTAATATACTAGTATAAATTCAAAATTGTTCACTTTTATTGACAACATTTGCCCTTACATGTTACTTTTTTGACAGAGGCTGCCATGTTCTAAAGCATATGATTTCCTGAAAATTTGTATATCTGATTACCAAAAAATAGGGACTTTGTGGTATTTGACATATAACATCTGTCTCTGGTTTTAATTATAAAAGGATATCTATCTCTCATCTGCTGCATTTCTTCTATAGCTTCAGGTGCTGAAACAAAATAGTATCAAATCTCTCATTCTGTTAAAATACATGTATTTACATGTAAATAAGGAACCATATCACATTGTTGTTAGAATATTATGCATAGAAATATTGTAGGAAAATTTTTATACAAATTGTTTTTTTAAGTAGAGGCAGTCAGTCAGATTTTTTCTAATAAAACTTCTTTCAAATTAAAATAGTGCATTAGTATAAATATGATTTTAATAAAAAATCTTAGTTTTGAATAAATTTGCAGTTAAGTTTTTTTTCTGACTTTCATTTCCATTAATTTTGTCATAGATTATCTTGGTAACATGTTTTCCTGCATAAAACAGATATGTTATTTTCATCAAATTCTAAACTTTGAATTTATCAACTGGCAAATATTGTAACAGATATAAAATGTATCTTACTTCATGTACTTTTAACAATGGTTTTATTTGTTTGTAAATTTCAAATGGATATATAGGTTGAGTCTGGAGTACAATGCTTCTATAGATTGATTGATTGATTGTTGGTGTTTAACGCCACTATTGGCACTCTAGGCTACATCATAGCCACCAATTTTTATTGGTGGAGGATTCTTAAGAACAAATAAAACTGCCCAAGCTTTAGAAAATTAAAAATCCTCATTGAACCATAAATAAGAAGTCATGCTCAACCACGATAACAAGTTAATACTGCTATCCCTAACATTCATGTCTCTATGATATTTGTTTTTGCATCTTCTTGTACCTATTTCTTCAACTGATGGTTTTGGGGGAGGGAGAAAGACAGTAAATTCACAAATCAATGTTTACTGGTATATTCATTTTTCTTTTAATCAGGATCTAATGGACCAATGTTTTCTGCAAAGGGGACTTCAAAGGGTTTATAGGACCCCTTTTGGTGTGACAATATGCTGTTTTTGATGTTTTGCTTTGCTTCTCCCTTTTCAAAATAGCCAAGCCATTCCAAAATAAAAGGTGATTCAGAAGAGAACTGGTGCTGTATTTCTATAAAATGTTTTGTACGCATGCACAGTTTAAAAGATTTTATTTGCGTTTGATAAATTAACTCAATAAATTGAGTGTACAACTGTTGCTAATTAAAAGTTAAATTCATGCAATAAAAAATTTTGTGTAGATTCTCAATACTATATCATGTGCTTCAGACTCTCTTAAAAGTCATCAATGGGCACTCAACCATGACCATTAATATCCTCTATAAAAAGTCAACCTGTCTATTATATCTGGTATTTATAGCCATATGGTCAATACGTCTATATAAATCTGATGCTTATGAATTGTAGCAATATAAATCTAGTGATTATAAATTGTATCTGTAGATGTATTGACAGAATTATATGATTAACGAGAATTCATTGACTTCTATATTTAGGAGATCAATATCTCTAGAGATGCCATATAGTCAGAAAAAAATTGTTACGTCAAAACTAAGACTCTCATTGTAAGCTCTACTCTGGAAGTAAATCACACACCGATAAACTGTTTTTATAACTGTACTTATTCTTAAATGTCTATTTTTAGGAAAAAAAAGGAATAAGGGGGAGGAGTCTTATTCTATAGATTCATTGATCCTTTAGTATGATAAACTGCAAAGTTAAACTTTACTATATTTAATTTCTTCATTGAATCAGGGTATCACCAAGTTACTTATTATCAAGAAATATTTTTTCTGCAGAGGGGACTTCAAAGACTTAATTGACTCCCTAGTGGTGGGACAACATCTTTTTTTTTTTTTATTTTTGTTAAGAGGCGTGGCATATAGAGGAAGAAAGACAATAATTACATAAATATGAATAAGTCGTATAACCATAATTTTGCAAACTTCTCGCTCTACAATTGCTGAGTACTTATGCCAAAAAAAGCTTCTACATGCTTGATAAAATTGTAAATAATCCTACAATTCATTTCAATGCATTTGTACTTGCTCATAAAATGATGGTGTGAAATGAGTAAAAATTTTCACCATGAAGTCAGTCGGATGGCGAGTTTTAGCGATTTCAAAATTTCTTGGCGACTTAAATCGTCATTTTCGCCGGCAAGATTATGGCCTGCACTATATATATATATATATCAAATACATGTCAAATACACGTATACACATAATATACAATATGATCACATTCATATTTTTCTATATTTTCACATTTATAATATTCCCCAGATCTTTTAAACTGATGAAAATTTGATATACATACAAGTGCGTGTTTTTGTGTTGGTGTTGATGAGACACGTTAACCCTGTAAGCCAGATATTGGCTTCATCAGGTGTATTGGCTATTAGATCCATGGAATCAAAATCATCTCCAAATATAATAGAGAAGGCACACTCGTCCTGGTAAATCCCCGCTATTTCTTTGTTTTTTAAGGCTTCTGTGGTTTTCCCTCCTCGTACCTCTTTGATACTTGCTACAGAAACTACAAAACAATCAAAATATTTATATTGCATTTTATATTATATTTTATGTTTTTTTCAACTGTACAAGTCATTAGTTTACAAGATGAGGAACTCAAAAATTGATAATTAACCATTTGAGCTTCTTAACATCATAGTTTAAGATACATTCATACGGGAAAATATAAAAGGAGGGGGTATAAGATAAAAAGACAGCAATCAAACAATTCATCTATGATAAAAAACATAATTAAGGTATGACAAAAGACAGCCACTGACAAGATTCCTGACTTTGGTCCAGCAAATGAACATGTGGATGGGTTAAATATATGTCATTCTATATCTTAACCTTCTCCCTTATAAACAGTGGACCAACAAAAAGTACATATTATTATATATATATTTAAGGACAAATATTAAAAACAAATAAAGGAAAAACCAGAGTTCCCCTTCTTATATCTGTACAAACATGATCATGGTAAAGTGTTGACAGGCTGGTGGTCACTGTAAACAAATGAGACCACTATGCCACTACTTTTCTAATGAGAGTTGTACAGATCTACAGGTGGATCATGATATACATAGAGCAGATGGACAACTTGGACCACTCAGCCACAGAGGCCACTACTTGTCTGAGAAGAGTTGTACAGATCTACATGTGGATATATGGAGCAGATTGTCAATTTAGACCACTCAGCCACAGAGGCCACTACTTGTCTGAGAAGAGTTGTACAGATCTTCATGTGGATATATGGAGCAGATTGACAATTTAGACCACTCAGCCACAGAGGCCACTACTTGTCTGAGAAGAGTTGTACAGATCTACACGTGGATACATAGAGCAGATGGACAACTAAGACATCTCTGCCCCTACTTGTCTAAGAAGAGTTTTACAATCTACATTTGGATGCATAGAGCAGATGGACAACTAAGACATCTCTGCCACTACTTGTCTAAGAAGAGTTTTACAATCTACATTTGGATGCATAGAGCAGATGGACAACTAAGACATCTCTGCAACTTCTTGTCTAAGAAGAGTTGTACAATTTACATGTGAATACATAGAGCAGATGGACAACTAAGACATCACTGCCACTGTTTGTCTAAGAAGAGTTGTACAATCTACATGTGGATACAGAGAGCAGATGGACAACTAAGACATCTCTGCCACTACTTGTCTAAGAAGAGTTGTACAATCTACATTTGGATGCATAGAGCAGATGGACAACTAAGACATCTCTGCCACTTCTTATCTAAGAAGAGTTGTACAATTTACATGTGAATACATAGAGCAGATGGACAACTAAGACATCTCTGCCACTGTTTGTCTAAGAAGAGTTGTACAATCTACATGTGGATACAGAGAGCAGATGGACAACCAAGACATCTCTGCCACTACTTGCCTATGAGGAGTTGTACAATCTACATGTGAGCAGATGGACAAATTAAGGAATGAGATACTGTAATCACTCTATATAACTGCTTCATTAAGTGTTGGTTTAATGGACAACTGGATGTATAAAAAACCCACTGACAGTATCAGTGATGTACTACTGGTTAAATACAGGAAGTAAATTGAAAGTGTCCTGAGATATAAATTCAATAGACATATTGATTTTATACTTATCCATGTTGTCAAATGCTATACAAACAAATAATCAAATTTCTATCATGAATTAGCAAACTTTCTTGGGAGAAATATATCTAATATTTGTCTAGCGACTGGTTTTACCCATATATCCTTCTTAAAGCTTATATATTTAGTATATTTTTACGGTATTAGTCTACATACAAATATACCTCTAGCAAAGTTTATTAATCTATTTTGCATGTGTAAGTTTAACCCAAATACACAGTACCTCGCCCAAACTACTGTCTGAAGGGAGGGTTTAAATGACCTGGAATCCAAAGCACCTTACCACCATTGGTCTAGGGTACCATTACAGAACATTGCACCTTACCACCATTGGTCTACGGTACCATTACAGAACATTGCACCTTACCACCATTGGTCTACGGTACCATTACATAACATTGCACCTTATTACCATTGATCTACGATACCATTACAGAACATTGCACCTTACCACCATTGATCTACAGTACCATTACAGAACATTGCAAGTTAAACTTTCTCATTTTGATATCACAAAGCAAACATCAAGTGTCAAAAGAAATCTGTGGTCAAGTTTTACAGAATCACATGTCTTCGTCTTCCATGGCATAAATCTGATCACCTACAATCATTTGCATATAAATCTGAAAAATAATTCAGCTATGCATTTAACAGGTCCAACATTTGAATTTTCCTTTTCTTTGAATCAAAACATACAAAATGATATAAAATGATAACCAGTACAAACACCCATACATATATGCCTGACTGGATGTAATGGGATGTCGTGATCATAATTAAATTAAAGCATAACAGAATAGGTTACGGAAAGAATATGCTTTATTGACATAACATCGGACAAAACCTCATGGGGAAATGTCCAACCAGATCTGATTAATGTACTATTTTTGTAAGCCATCACATTCAATTAATCGGTTTGACCATTTTTGTCTCAGCAAAGAGATAGCAACATGGGAATTAATGGCTGAACATATACTTCTATTCATTTCATTACAATATCAAATAATGAAAGAATTGTATCAAATCAATTCCAGTCAGACATATTCAATTTCTCCAATGCGTACCTCTATTAGTATTGTGCACCTTAATACTAGGATATAGCTGAATTAGGGAATACCTTTACATGTATTATATCACATTTATACTGTACTGATTTTTCATTATATTTTCATACTAAGGATACACAAAAAATTTATATAAATTCATTCAATTTATTTTATGAAAATATACATGAATTTGTTTCGAGATTAAACAAACCCTATTACTAAATAGATGTTCATAATGACAAAATGATAATATAATCATGTCGTCAAATAAAAGTCAAAACCAAAATATAATGTTATAAAGGGATATAACTCAAGAACTGTAAAAGTGACGCTACCCAAATTTGTACTTGATCTGAGTTTTGTGGTAATAAGCATTGTGTATACGTTTCATAACATTTGGTTGAGGCAAACTTAAGTTAGAGAACGGAAACGAAAAATTCAGCAATTTTTCCATTTGTAGTGGGGCATAACTCTAGAACGGTAAAAGTGACGCCACCAAAATTCAAACTTGATCTGTGTTTTGTGGTAATTAGCATTGTGTATAAGTTTCATAACATTTGGATGAGGTAAACTGAAGTTAGAGAACGGAAACCAATTTTGGGACGTACATACGGACAAGGGTAAAACTTAATGCCCCCTCCTCTATGGCGAGGCATAAAAATTCAATCCATCTCCCTGTAAATAAAATCAGCCTAAAATCACTACATGTATATCCATTGTAAAGTAGTTAAATAGTGTTGCACAACAGTCATTTTCATGCAGTATAACATCATACATGTACATGTAAAGTAATATGACTTAAAAATTGTGATTTATCGATTGAAAGTCTGTTCCCCATAAATCTGCATATATATATGTGATCTGGTCCTTCAACTCTAAATTTAAACCACTGAATATTATGTAATTTTAAAATATTGGCAGGAAACAATGTGGATATAACCATGATAACATGTGGTGTATACAACAAACAATAAAAACCAAAAGATATGTATTTACTGTACCAGTTACAATGTAGATATACTTCATAAAGTGATTTTGATGAAAAGTAATTATATATAAACAATAAAATTTAGGATCAAAGACAGCATATATATATATATATATTCATGTTTTACTGTCTGGCTATTTTAAAGAGGAATATAACAAAGACATCTACTTGTGTGCATGAAGTTCTATCATGTATTGTAGAAGTTTTATATGAACAATGTTAATATACTACATTTTAATGCATATCATATTTCATCTAACTACTGAAGCAAACCACTGAACCTGACTGGCCAGGGGAGAGAATGGCCCACTGCGACTAAACAACTGGAACAGAAAAATGGAATCCATTCTTTTAATTACCAATCTAAGACTTAAGCAGCGGAATCTGAATGACAAGAACAGAGGATAGAATAATATAAAAATAAACAAAACATAAATTGACCATTTGATGAGAGTTCTTTCTGGAGTCTGTTGTAGCTTACAATAAAAAGAAAATTTGTAAGAGTTCCATGGAACCCAGTGTCTTGCCTACTTTTGCTGTTAGTCACAGGCTCAACAAAAATGGGGAAAAAATTATTAAAAATTTTCCTCTAGATACTATCTTTTGATTGTAAGAAGCTTCTGTCCAAGTTTGGTAAAAATCCAGGATGGTTTATGAATCTAATAAATGTTTTAAAAACTTTAACTGCAGACTGTATGTAATGTTAACTGGAAGAAAAACTAAGTCCATTTATAAGAAATATACGGAAAAACAGGAAATAAATTTTTACAAAATTTCCTTCTAGATACTAGCTTTTGATCATAAACAAGCTCCTGTCCAAGTTTGGTACAAATCCAGGATAGTTTAAGAAAGTTATTAAAATTTTCAAAAACTTTAACCACAGAGTGAATGTAATGTTAACTGGCAGAAAAACTAAGTCCATACATGTATGTAAGTAAAATACGGATAAACAGGTTTTTTTTTTAACAAAATTTACTTCTGGATACTGTCTTATGATCATAAACAAGCTTCTGTCCAAGTCTGGTAGAAATCCAGGATAGTTTAAGAAAGTTATTAAAATTTCAAAAACTTTAACCACAGAGTGGATATTTGTGGACGCCGCCGACAACGACAGAATGTAGGATTGTTATGTCTCGCTTTTGCGACAAAAGTCGCAGGCTCGACAAAAATTAGAAATAACAAACTTATAGATCTTTAAAAGTAGGTATTTCTTCAGTATATCTATCATTTTAACAATAAGGAAATGTGGTATGATTGCCAATAAGACAACTATCCTCCCGAGTCTAAATGCCATGGATGCAAGCAACGATATATATCATTAAATGGCCTCCAACAATGAGCAAAACCCATAGCTTACAGTCAGCAATAAAAAACCCTACAACATAACTTGTGAAACAATTTGAATGAGAAAACCAACAATGACAAAACAGTAATATTACAGTGTATGTTGTTTAATGGTCAACCAATTATCTGTTAATTGTCATCATCGTCATTGGTTACATGTCATGTAAACTGGTGAATGTGACACTAAAAGTACTGATAGATAAAAGATTTCCTTCACTTGTACATTGACATATTTAAGATCAAAAGTTCATTTGAATTCAGATCATTTGATCAATTACATTATCACTGGACACTTTGCTACAGTGCATGAAAACTTTATTTCCAGATTCAGGAATAGAAGGCTGTCATTTTCATTTTGCCAGAAGTGGTTGCACAAATTTTATACTTGGTCACCTCTGAATCAGAATAGAGTCCAAATTTAAACATGTGTTTGCGCATCACTACATGCACCATCTGCAGAAGTCAAACAAATGACCTTCAACCTTGAACCACAGAACTCATCTCACCGGCTTGGCTGCGGGTACAAGTCAAATAGGCACCTGGTTAAATCGGCACCCATAGAAAAAGTCAAATCGGCACCTGGTGAAATCGGCATCTAGTCAAATCGGCACCTATTTAAAGTCAATTCGGCATCCAATAATATTTGATATAATATATACATATAAATAATTCTAAAAATGTATAAATGATCTTTCTATTTATGATTATTTTTGGGGTTGGATTTTATCATTCATTACATCTTTAAAAATAAATTAAAAAATTTATTGTTTAAAGTTTTCTCAACATTCTATGACTGATGTTTTGATTAGTTTTCTTTTCAATTAACTAATTAATAACTTTTATCAATTACATAATTAACATGTTTGTTGTTTTAACTATATACAGGTAGTTATTGCTGTTTTTTCTTCAAAAACTTAATAATAAACAATGAAGCCATTACCCAAGCTGTTGTTTAATTATGAGAAAATTAGATGCAATAAACATGATAAAAGGGAAAACTATGAGTTCCTTTCATTACTATCACTAATCAAACTTGCATGCAAAATAATTAGCAATTAAGGTGGTTTTTCAGGAAACTTTAAACAGCATTAAACCAACAATCATGCAAAATGCTCAACTAGTTAAAACATGCATAAAAAATATCCAAACCTTGAATACACATTAAGTTGACAAAAAAAAAATACATACAGAAATCCCCTAAAAATGTAAATAAGTCAATACTTGTTTAACCCCTTCTTTATTTTAATCTTTTTGTTTAAAATACTGAAAAAAAACCTATATTAAACATATCTAACATGGGTGCCGAAATGACTTCATCGGGTGCCGATTTCACCAGGTGCCAAATTGACTAGGTGCCGATTTGACCAGGTGCGGATTTGACTAGAATTCCTTGGCTGCCAGGGAGAAGTCACTTCCCCATAAAATTCTAGAGTGAGGTGATCCCTAGCCTGGAACCATTTATTCAGCAAATTCAGGCATTTTGTGTTTTTTGACACTTTCTTAAAAATTCAAACAACCACACAGTACATGTACATTGTATATCAATTCAAACAAAGAGGGTTTGACACACCTACAGTTATGCAGAAATTAGAGAGAAAAATGGAAAATCAGAGTGAGCAATTTCCTAAAAGCTGAAAGCTTGTTAAATGAATGTGCACAAATGTAACAAAAAGCTGCATGCCAATGTAATGCATTGTACAACACATAACCTGTTATCCTGTTATCATGGTTATAGCATAAGGATGGCTTCAAGTCTAAAAACTTGAAGTAACACTAGTACTTGTACATGTATGTTAATGTCAAGTCATGTGACATGACAAGACATGGGCCCCAAATTCATGTCCGACTTACTTCTAGCCTTATGTGGTTTTTTAGATGTAGGTTGCCATCGGATTTCTGTCATGTCTGGATTAAGAGTAAATATCCGATGATACTGACGACTGTTAGAACGGACTTTAATCAATTCACTTCCATTCTGCATGTATGAAAGACAATCTTGAGCTGAAAGATAAAAGTATATAATTCAATAATCATTTTTTTCTATACAGAATAAACTAATTAATAAAAAAAGGCCTTATGTTCATTGTATCCACTGTGAATGCACTTTGCTGATTCCAATATCACGAATACCATGAATACTGTCTATTTTGCAATGTTTTAATTATGCCAAAATGGGGACAGGATGCATGTAGGTTTTGCCAAAACCAACCTTGCATTTTAAATTTTGATAGCCTTTTTTTGTACATGTATATGTATATAGCATTTTCTTAATGATAAGTAATCTCACATTTTTTGTTCACTATTCCACGAAATCATTATTAATAAATTTCTAAACTTTTTCAGTAAACTATTAAATACAATGTAATTTTAGCTGGTGTACTCTTTAACAAAATAGAAGTGGCTGTACACAATTTTTTCATTCATCAGCTGAAGACATGTTCTATACTCCTAAAAGACAGCATGTGGTTTTCGAAGAGTTGGGCATGTTGGGAGTTGAGTAATGGCGAGTCAAAGGATCATAAATTTAAACAAGAAATGACACAGTAAAATGTCTAGCCTCTTGCAATATTGGTCATACATGTACATGTATCAGATTTATTTTAAATGGTGATAAACTCTAAAACTGAGGTCAAGGTCAGATGCAACTGTTTATGTACATATACAGAAATTAATAAACATGGTACATTGTACATGTATTACTCCTTCTAAAAAGAGGCTTAGTAAGCGCTCATGTGAATCATAAATGGCAGCCCTAAACAATTAAACATGTACCTTAATATCTTGATTTATTCATGTCACAGTATGTAATAGTCAATCCAATATATGTATATTTTATAAATCTTAAACTAACCGAGTAGGTTTATTAAACAATGTTCAAAATGTTGAAAGATTTGAAAAATTCCTTGAAGAACATTAGCAGATTATTGTGATTGGGAGATGTCTGTATCACATACATTTTTGTAATACAATCAGTACAATGTCCTGAAGTCTTTCTCATCATGCTTACAGACCTCACTTGCTTTTCCTGTTATCAAGATCATAGATTTAACATTTACATGTATATGCTAAAAATCTGCTCTATCAGGTCTATCCCCCTTAGAAAAGGTAATAAAAATAGACACAACATTTATCTCTTTATTCTGTACCATTGTTATAGTTTTTATTATCAACAACAAATTTCAAAGTTAACACAAAATAAACAAAAAATTCAGATAAAAAAATATCCAGCCAACATCAGGAGGATCCTGACTTAGGGCATGCACATGGAAATGAGGTGGGCCTAAATTAGTGTTTTTTAGACGGTTTTAGAGCTCAGCCCATGTTGATTAATGGCTGGAATTTGTCCAGCAGCAAATATAACATGCATATTCAGAATTATTAGCATGATTAGATATACCTCGGATCCTAAAATATGAATATACCCTGTTTGTTCAGAACTGATACATTGTCTTGCTTGCCAGCTCACATGTTAACAGTGTGCACCATTTTTTGACATATAGTTCCGACTTCAAGCCAGCCCTAAAATCCAGCTTAGCCGAGGAACAGGTAATACAAATTTTAAAGTCTGCTTTGACACAGGTATTGTCCAAACTTCAACCTAATACCTCACTAATAGGCAAGCAAACTACCATATGACTAGTACCTTGTGAAATTCTGACTCTGGAGCGGATTTCTTATAATTTTGGCGACCAAATCTGAAAACTGTTCAGACCCGGAATCCAAAAAAGGGATTACAAAACGACTACCAAGGCACCAAGTTGCATTTAGATATAGTATTTCTATAATGTATGACTCTTTCATTTTATACAGACCTGTAGCTATTTTTCTTTCAGTTGGCATGCTACTAAAGGATACTGTTTTCTTCCTAGGAGGTTTTCTACTCCCAGTCTTGTTCATAAAACTACTTTTTCTTGGCATTATTTTATCCGATATAGAATTTTCTTCATTTTCTAGAGAGTTGCTGTCATCACCTGTACCATCCAAATTTTCAGATTCACCGTTAAGGAAAACATCCGAACATTTTTCTATCACTTCATCGGCGGTTTCTGTTTCCTCCGCCATGTTTCACATTTCCTGCTTTTGGGATTTTTGTATGGACCGATAATTCCAAATTGTATCCCTTTTATCACCAATTTACATATTTGCTTATATTCTTACATCCTTATTCATCATTATTTTTCAATGCATTGACATTTTTGTTTGTTTTTGGTTGCATTTTGGTCGTAAACAGAGTGTATTAGCACTCAAATCAAAGTAATTTGCGACATCGGATCGGATTGCTTGTGTAGTTTAAAATACAAAATCGGATTAGGGAAAATCACAATTCCGTGTTTATCTTTCAAGTCTTTTCGACACCTAGCCTTCTCAACTTTTACAAAAACTTGACAAAAAGGGCAGAAGATACCAAAAGGGACAATGAAAAATCAATGATAAGTCATGGGGCCAATAGAAAAAGGGGACATGTAACTAATTATATATTTTATTAAATTTCATAGTTTCGCAAAACTTGATTCCCACGCAAAATGGCTGCAGTAGCTTTTTGATTCAGGGTGGGGGCATTTATTCAATGATTGGTCTATTCAAGGATTCCTTGTTCTATTATATTCAGTTGCGGATCCGCCCCTGATATTTCTAACTCCTCTTATGATTGCATATTGAGTTATTAATCTGCCGGGTTGGAAAATTCAGTTTTCGTTTTCTGGGCAAATTATTCATTTTTCATAATTTTAGAAGATGCATTGTTTTATACACCTTCTTTTTTTCCTGATAATATATCATCATACAGCATTGATAAATTTATATGGTTGGAAAGATATTTCATAGGATTTCGTTACATATTTCTTTCGTCATGATTTGACTCAGTCATGCACAGTTCAGTTTATAGTTGTCCAGAAAAGGGGATTGAAAACTACATCTTTTAAAAGAACTTTAATTAATTTTTAATTTAATTTTCTTTTAAAATGATTGGTTGCTCGATGTGTGCTTTACGCCGCAATGGGATTCATTTTGTATTATAACATACACTTCCTGTATCTAAATATCCTATACCAATACCGTGTAGTGTTAAAAGGCAATTAAAGGGAAATAAACATATTTGAATTGATCAGTGTAGACCAGGTAATTTTGAAAACTTGTTAAAGCTGGGACTATAATACTTTAATAGTCCCAGGTTAAAGTTTTCGTTTGATAATTTTGCTTATTGTGTCAAGTGAATCTCTGCTAATTGTGACCCGATTATTGATTAATAACATACAAATAACGCACTCATTTTACAAGTAAAAAGACCCCACTTTCATTATTTTATTCAAATAGATTCTATTTCTCATCTTTTCTTTTAAAGATATACATCTGTTTCTTCTTTGAGACACAATTTACAGAATAATTGCAGTTTTGATCGAAAGTAACAAATAAAAAATAACCGAAACACTGAGAAATCAAGTCATTGTTGAATCAGAAACATATAATACAATATATATGTGTCTGGTTGAATATACTAAGACGTTTCAATTCGGATTTCCTTTGATGTATTAGTTCAGGATAAACTTTTAAGCCAAATCTTTGTATCTATGACACAATTTAGTAAAAGTTTTAAGTAATTTGTTGTAACGAAACACGAGAAGTAATAATCTACTAGTTATACAAAGATTGCCGTTTAATTGCAATCTAAAACGTCACTACAGGTACGGGTATGGCTATTCAGTTGGGGAATATACACACCGTAAGAAAGCACCAAAAGGACACCACCGTTCATAAAAGGAGAATAAACAATAGAGAACGAAAAGTCGTATCAACGAAGTTCAGAAACGTATCAACGAAGTTTAGGACTCACTGCTAAACTATTACCTCAGGAACTTTGGTACCGCAAATTACTTAAAACATTTATTAAATTCTTTCACATCCCCATTTTTACAACATTTATTAAATTCTTTCACATCCCAATTTTAACAACATTTATTAAATCCTTTCACAACCCCATTTTTACGTTGCTGTTTTTGATAGAGCCCCTGAATTTTGATACGATCCAAAGTTATCGATCCTTTATATACACTAACTTTAAAGGGTTATCAATTTAACACTGTAACAAGATCTTTGAATATTGTTTTACCAGTACTTAGATTGATTTTGTCATTAATAAATTATAGCATAACTATATATATATTCTTATACAGTTTTGAACACTGAAGGACCTACATTCTGTCGATACTTATACAGTCATGAATACTGAAGGACCTACATTCTGTCGATACTTATACAGTTATGAACACTGAAGGACCTACATTCTACAGTCATGTACACTGAAGGACCTTCATATTCTGTCGATACTTATACAGTCATGAACACTGAATGATCTACATTCTGTCGATACTTATACAGTTATGAACACTGAAGGACCTACATTCTGTCGATACTTATACAGTCATGAACACTGAAGGACCTACATTCTGTCGATACTTTTACAATCGTGAACACTGAAGGACCTACATTCTGTCGATACTTATACAGTCGTGAACACTGAAGGACCTACATTCTGTCGATACTTATACAGTTATGAACACTGAAGGACCTACATTCTGTCGATACTTATACAGTCATGAACACTGAAGGACCTACATTCTGTCGATACTTATACAGTTATAAACACTGAAGGACCTACATTCTGTAGATACTTAAACAGTTTTGAACACTGAAGGACCTACATTCTGTCGATACTTATACAGTTATGAACACTGAAGGACCTACATTCTGTCGATACTTATACAGTTATGAACACTGAAGGACCTACATTCTGTCGATAGTTATACAGCTATTAACACTGAAGGACCTACATTCTGTCGATACTTATACAGTCATGAACACTGAAGGACCTACATTCTGTCGATTCTTATACAGTCATGAATACTGAAGTACATACATTCTGTCGATACTTATACAGTTATGAACACTGAAGGACCTACATTCTACAGTCATGTACACTGAAGGACCTACATATTCTGTCGATACTTATACAGTCATGTACACTGAAGGACCTACATTCTGTCGATACTTATACAGTCATGAACACTGAAGGTCCTACATTCTGTAGATACTTATACAGTTTTGAACACTGAAGGACCTACATTCTGTCGATACTTATACAGTTATGAACACTGAAGGACCTACATTCTGTCGATACTTATACAGTTATGAACACTGAAGGACCTACATTCTGTCGATACTTATACAGCTCCTACTTTCTGTCGATACTTATACAGTCATGTACACTTACGGACCTACATTCTGTCGATACTTATACAGTCATGTACACTTACGGACCTACATTCTGTCGATACTTATACAGTCATGTACACTGAAGGACCTACATATTCTGTCGATACTTATACAGTCATGTACACTGAAGGATCTACATTCTATCGATACTTATACAGTTATGAACACTGAAGGACCTTCATTCTGTCGATACTTATACAGCTATGAACACTGAAGGACCTACATTCTGTCGATACTTATACAGCTATGAACACTGAAGGACCTACATTCTGTCGATACTTATACAGTCATGAAAACTGAAGGACCTACATTCTGTCGATACTCATACAGTCATGAATACTGAAGGACCTACATTCTGTCGATACTTATACAGTTATGAACACTGCAGGACCTACATTCTACAGTCATGTACACTGAAGGACCTGCATATTCTGTCGATACTTATACAGTCATGTACACTGAAGGACCTACATTCTGTCGATACTTATACAGTTATGAAGACTGAAGGACCTACATTCTGTCGATACTTATACAGTTATGAACACTGAAGGACCTACATTCTGTCGATACTTATACAGCTCCTACATTCTGTCGATACTTATACAGTCATGTACACTGACGGACCTACATTCTGTCGATACTTATACAGTCAGGTACACTGAAGGACCTACATATTCTGTCGATACTTATACAGTCATGTACACTGAAGGACCTACATTCTGTCGATACTTATACAGTTATGAACACTGAAGGACCTACATATTTCGATACTTATACAGTCATGAATACTGAAGGACCTACATTCTGTCGATACTTATACAGTTATGAACACTGAAGGACCTACATTCTACAGTCATGTACACTGAAGGACCTACATACTCTGTCGATACTTATACAGTCATGTACACTGAAGGACCTACATTTTGTCGATACTTATACAGTCATGAACACTGAAGGACCTACATTCTGTAGATACTTATACAGTTATGAACACTGAAGGACCTACATTCTGTCGATACTTATACAGTTATGAACACTGAAGGACCTACATTCTGTCGATACTTATACAGCTCCTACATTCTGTCGATACTTGTACAGTCATGTATACTGACGGACCTACATTCTGTCGATACTTATACAGTCATGTACACTGAAGGACCTACATATTCTGTCGATACTTATACAGTCATGTACAATGAAGGACCTACATTCTGTCGATACTTATACAGTCATGTACACTGAAGGACCTACATATTCTGTCGATACTTATACAGTCATGTACACTGAAGGATCTACATTCTATCGATACTTATACAGTTATGAACACTGAAGGACCTTCATTCTGTCGATACTTATACAGCTATGAACACTGAAGGACCTACATTCTGTCGATACTTATACAGCTATGAACACTGAAGGACCTACATTCTGTCGATACTTATACAGTCATGAAAACTGAAGGACCTACATTCTGTCGATACTCATACAGTCATGAATACTGAAGGACCTACATTCTGTCGATACTTATACAGTTATGAACACTGCAGGACCTACATTCTACAGTCATGTACACTGAAGGACCTGCATATTCTGTCGATACTTATACAGTCATGTACACTGAAGGACCTACATTCTGTCGATACTTATACAGTTATGAAGACTGAAGGACCTACATTCTGTCGATACTTATACAGTTATGAACACTGAAGGACCTACATTCTGTCGATACTTATACAGCTCCTACATTCTGTCGATACTTATACAGTCATGTACACTGACGGACCTACATTCTGTCGATACTTATACAGTCAGGTACACTGAAGGACCTACATATTCTGTCGATACTTATACAGTCATGTACACTGAAGGACCTACATTCTGTCGATACTTATACAGTTATGAACACTGAAGGACCTACATATTTCGATACTTATACAGTCATGAATACTGAAGGACCTACATTCTGTCGATACTTATACAGTTATGAACACTGAAGGACCTACATTCT